GATCTTTAACAGATCTTTTATCTTAATGAATTTCATTACTTATATGAAATTTTAAAGATAGGTAGCAATAAAATACTAATAATTTCAATTCAAATCACTTTTTATTTCTTAAAATCACATATTTGGCACATTCATATTGCAAAAATTTTATCATGCAAAATTCATTTACTATCGTAAAATATTTCCATATTACACTACTAAACTTTTTTTTCGACATTGTTTCTATTTTAATTTAACTCAACACTCTCCAAAGATACAAACGTAATCTATGCTATCCTGTGTCACACTAAACTATAAACCAGGGCTGTGGAGTCCAACTCCAACTCTGACTTTTCCTTACCATCCGACTCCGACTAGGGGCGGACTTGTTACCGAAAGAGATGCAGAAATTCTGATGTCATCACGTGACCTCAGAATAAAAGATTCAATAAATAGAAAAAGATAGAGCATAGAAACTTTTTATTCCAAAGCTAAAAGACTTCTCTAAGTAATATATAAATATGTATTCGATAATTTTTACTTTTCTACTGTTATAGGCTATATAACAAAAGGAAAGTGTAGCGCTCTGTCAAAAAATGACCCCTCCCAAATTTTTACATTTTTGGACTCAGGACACCTTGAAATTTCGAGATATGCAAAAGATTCAAGGTTTTTTCTATATGTGTGGATGTTAGACTGCATGTGGCGAGGAACGATTTTGTTCACCCTGTTTGAAGCCTAATAATTTCTGTGGTCAGAGTGGTTGGAATCGGAGTCAGATGGTTTAACACAGGAGTTAATTATTAAGCGTCAAAGTGGTTGAACTAAATCGTGTCCCCATATACATTCTAACGTCTTAGGTGAGAACATCTTAACGGGTTTTACTGTACTACTGTATTATAAAATGGCAAAAAAGCTTACTTTGAGGGTAGAGACGAATTTTATTTTATTTTTTAAAATTTTGAACACTAATAACGAGTAAAATATTCATTAAGAGATATGATACATGACCACTTTTATGTCTTCACCCCGTCGACCTTTAATTAAGAACCAAAATTTAATAGTATTAATGCCCCGTTACACGCGAGCCACAGTGCCACATTTCGTTTCTTAAACTTTACCCGTTCTGAGATATTGTTTAATATCTCAAAACAGAAAATAAAGAAATTAAACAAATTAGATGCCAGCACACACATGCGCATGAATTTTCCCCCTTTATTGACTTTTTTGAGGGGTCGGAAGGTCTCCAAACGTGTAGATTTGCAAAGAAAAAAAACTTGGAGGGTCAAATTTGATACGATTCTAATACTTTTCCATTTTATATAAATAACAAGTTGGAAGGTAAAAAGGAGTTGGAGTCGCCGGATTTTTTGATGACTCCGACTCCACAGCCCTGAAAGATAAAAGAATTTCCCTTATGTTGCATTTTTAAATATTTTGGCAAATGCCGTATTTTAAACTTACTTCAACAAAGTTAAAATTTAAACTTTAAAACGAGAGCCTCATCGTGTCACTTCTATAACAAATTAAAAAAAAATCTTTCCATTGTGACGTTCTATTATCCAATCGAAAGTAACAATCCAAGGAGTCCGTTATTTAGTGTGTTATCACTCATCTAACTGATGTAGTGTACATACAATTCATCTTTGTTTTATCTCAATATAGAATTAAAAAAACTTTTTTTTTACAAAATAGCGAAAGTCTAGAGGAAAACGTAAGAGTAAAATTGGTCAGGTAAATTCTAGATCTAAAATAAGAACCGTGATCCCTGAAGGCCACGAAGTCCGACTTAGCATCATCGAGTAAGAATGGTTTTGTCAAGGGCTGCAGAAACTGCATCACGTCAAGCTTCTAGTTTCTTGAAATCTCTTCTCAATTCTTCAATCCTTACTTTCTCATAAAAACTATTCTGTCATGCTTGACCAGGGAATTTCTAATATAGTATATTTTCCTTGATTAAAAAAAAATTTTTTTTTACTATAACTCCACCCTGTGGAGAGTGTCTTTTTAGCAAGGTGGCTAAGTGGTGGAGGACGGAGCATCCTTGAAAAATTCATAGAATTTTTTGACCTGTCAGGATTCAATCCCAGGTCCCCAGAAAAGTGAGCGACTTGTTTTATGGTATTTTCTTATATCCTAACCACTGGACCATCAGGCTGTGGATAGTTTTTATTTTTATAGTAATTTATCTTATCTCAAAATGCATATGTTAAGAAAAATTTATTTTAATATTTTGATTATGGAGTACTTTTCCAAATTTTGTAATGAATTAAGAAAACTGTAGTAAATACTATTTGCTATAAGTAAGGAGACAAAAATTGTTGAAATTTCTATATTTAAAAATAATAAACAGCATTTATACATTAATTTACAGAACAAAAAAAATCTTGGAGAAATATAAATCTTATATTATTTACATATTTAAAATATAATATCTGTTAATATTTTTGAATTACATATTTTTATTTAATTTATGATCTTAAATAAAAACAATTCCTCTTGTAATGCAAGAAGAAACTATCACTAGAAGTATAAAGGATAAACTAAAAAAACAACAGATTTCCAACAAGAAAATGGTACAGATAGTCTTTGCATGTGCACTTTAGTAAAGGGGCTTTAACACTGGATAAGCAAATCAATGATGTAGTGTGTTTCATTTAAAATGGCCTAGGTCATCAATTTGCTTATCAAGCTATATTAAAGCCCCCTTTACTAGCCAATGTGGCCTTGTTGTTTCCTTTTAAGTTTTGTTCTTAAGTTCAGAAGTCAATTGAGAAATTCTACTGTCAGATCATTAGTGAAATCAATAATGTGTGTAAAAGAATTAGAATCTAGCCAACTTTGTATTTATCAATTCAATAAGGACATCAGTACGTTATGATCATCTTGAATATTGAACTCAGTAAACGTAAAGTTAGTAATGAAAACTTCCTTTTCAATACAACAATCTCAACAATTATAAATAATTTTGGCAATGAGATGTTACGATTTCGTTTATTGGTTAAAAAAAATTTTGATTTAAAAATCAAATTAAAAAACTTTAATGTCATTTAACTTTATAATTAAGTTTTAATTTTATTGCTAATAATCAAAATAACTTAATTTGTATAGATGGAGGAATGAATAAAACCTTCCCGAACTGAAAGCATGGGTAGTAAAAAATGTTTTAAAATAGTTTGATAAAATCGCACATTAATTACATGAAAAAACCGTAATTTTATATTTAGATATCGAAAACTTTTATTAGAAAATAATAGATTATTATTTACGTATTTTAAAAATTAAGCGTATCTTTCCTCCTTACTTTTTATTCCCTTCGAAAAAGGAACCATCTGATCTTTTGAACTACTAGAAAAAGACGTACTTCAAAAATCGCCCAAATCTTGACAAATAAAAAGTTTCGCATTTTCCTTCAAATTTAATAATTTTTATTTAAAAATTCTTTAATTTATTTTGTAGTTATTATAATAACAATTTCCTTATTTAACATATAATAGTAATTGTATTATCAAAAACGGCGTGAAATAAATTTTTTGAAAATGGCGACGTACCGCCAAGGGTTTCACTCTTGATGAAAAGAAAAAAAATTCGACGTAATCGATAAGTTGTAAAATACCCGGCCGATATCCTCAAATTATGAGTATTTTTGCATTATTCGTGAAATAAAGATGAAAGATTAAAAATACTGTATTTATTTATTTTTCTTAATTACAATTACATTTTCCCGGTCTGCTAAAAGAGGCCCTTTTAGGCGGAGAGTTAAAAAAATTACAATTACAGCAAGTCNCTGTTCCTAATACAAAATTTGGTCATTGAATCACATTCAATAAATATGATTAATTCTTGAAGAATATATATGTAATAATTTAATGACACAAAATAGTTTATTTTGATGAATACTGTAGAGGAAACAATCTCAAGTCAGGGGTGATGAATCATTTGGGTAAGCATGCCAAAATAAGCAGATTTAACTTAAAAACCTGCATGTAATCAAACAATACAGCTGGATTCATATTAGGCTACAGTAAGCAATTTGGACTATCTTGAGAGTGATTGTAGCTGTTATTGATCCATTCTAGTTGCAGAGTACTTGTCCAGGAACAACATGTCCTTGCTCTCTCAACTGCCCTACACTAATACATGCAGCCGTGATAGCAACTTTCAATATGGTTGCAAAAAAAGTGGCTTTGGTAACTGCTTCCAGCAGTAATATGAACATTATCAGAAGTGCATAGCTGCAGAAGGGAATTAGCCTACTTCAAAGGTGGTATTATATAATTCTCTTTTCCTTCAATAAATAATTTTTTACAATCTGTATCTCAGAACTTACTGACTGAAGTGAGTATATACATATAATATATAATTGTAGCCTAATATGAATCTGGCTTAGATTTGATTAATAATGTTTATTGGGTTGATTGTATATGTAAACTTATGTATGCCAAAATTTTAGAATTCAGATAACTATATTTGAAGAATTATAAAAAATTTAATTTGAGTAAATTTAAAAAATTCTGCTAGAAAAAGTATGACGATAAACAAAACTGGATATAAATTAATTCTGTAGAATTTTGTCAAAATTCTACAGGATTAATTTATATCCAGTTTTGTTTATCCAGTTAATTTTGACAAAATTAAATGACATTGTTTTTTAACCATGAAATATTTTATAGTGAAAAAATTA